CAATCAATAACCTTATCGAGGTAATTATTGCAACCGGTGCATAGGAATCGAAATAATCAACACCATGCTATTGCCTAAAGCCTTGGATAATCAATCTGGCTTTAAATTTCACTATGGAGCCATCCGGTCTCCTTTTCCTAGTGAAAATCCACTTGCAACCAAGAGGTTTGCAACCGGGAGGTAAATCCTCTATGACCCAAGTATTATTTCCCATGATGGAATCCATCTCATCATTTATAGCTTCCTTCCAAAATACACTATCTTGACCAGATATTGCCTCGCTATAAGTCTTTGGGTCACTATCCACGTTGAAACAATATGGAGTAGTAGAACTAAGGACATCCTTAGACCCTTCAACTAAATAAATTATGAAGTCATCTAGAGAATTCCTAATTTTCCTTTCCCTAGTACTTCTTCTCACTTGAGGAGTTTCAACATTCTCATTATCGAATGTACTTTCATGAGTTTCAAGTTGATCATTCAACTCTACTAACTTCCTATCATTGGCATTGATTTGTAGATCTTTCGGTCTACTCATTGATGAAAATCAATTTTCATCAAATATTGCATCTCTTGACTCAATAACCGAATGAATCGATATATAGTCATTTTGTTCTATTACATAGAACCTATAGGTTTTGCTATGCTCAGCATAACCTATAAATATGCAATCCAAGCCCCTTTCACTGAGCTTTCTTTTCTTGTTGCCGGGCACTCTAACGATTGCCCTACAACCCCAAATCTTGAGATACTTCAAGTTTGGTTTTCTTTTGTACCAAAGTTAATACGGAGTAGATTCTTTTCCCTTAGTGGGAACCCGGTTAAGAATGTGACAAGCTGTCAACATTGCTTCACCCCCGAACCCTTCACTCAAACCAGAGTAAGATAACATGGAATTAACTATTTTTTCAAGACTTCTGTTTTTCTTTTCAGCTACACCATTTGATTGTGGTGCATAACCAGCTGTAGTCTCATGAATTATACCCAAAGATTGGAAATATGCTGGATCATAGTATTCCCCTCCCTTATCAGTTCTCATTTTCTTAATAGATGAATCTACTTGCAATTCTACTTTTCTTTTATGATTATCAAACTTTGTTAAAGCTTCATCTTTGGAATGCAAAAGATACACATAACAAAACCTAGAATAATCATCTATAAATGTAATCATGTATCTTTTGTTCCCCAAAGAAGAAGTACTATGAAAACCACACAAGTCACTATGAATTAGTTCTAAAATATTAGAACTTCTCTCAACTCTCTTAAAAGGAGTTCTAGTGATCTTGTTCAACATGCAAGTAGAACATTTATTAGGAGAAATATCACAAGAAGGAATCAATTCTTGTTTGAACATGAAAAACATTTTATTGTAATTCACATGTCCTAATCTAGAATGCCACAAGTCAAACATATTCAAATCAACATGATTATCATTGAGATCAACATTCAAACATAAACCATCATCAAATACATACTTGTCTTTCAAAGAAAGTTTAAACAAACCATTGTCTAAACAACAACGACCAACAAATGTTACACCCCTAGTAATTATGCATCTATTAGCTTCAAATACAAGCTTATAGCCAAGACTATTCAGGGTAGGCCCGGATACAAGATTCCTACTAATTTCCGGAGCATACAAAACATTCCTAAGAATAATTGCAGTCCTCGAACTAAACACAAGCTCAACTTGTCCTCTTCCAAGAACCTTGATGGTAGAGTTGTTCCCCATGTAGAGGTCTTCTCTATCAACAACCTTTTGAAAGGTTTTGAACCAGTGTTTACTCTTGCACACATGCATTGAAGCCCCCGAATCAATCCACCATGAGTCGTCATCCTGCACCATAAAAATGTTAGGATCCGTTGCATTTAAATCCAAACCGGAATTAAATTCAACCTCATGAATTGGATTACCTTTGGTGGGTGGGTCCTTGCTTTCATTAGCACGGCCCTACTTGGCTTTCTCCATCCTTTTCTTAAAAGAAAAGCAGTCCTTCTTGCGGTGACCAACCTTACCGTATTCCCAACAAGCAAACTTGTTATTGTTTGCTTGCCTTTTGGACTTTCCTTTGGTAGAATTATTATTCTTCCTCTTTCAACTAGTAGATGCACTAGCTCTCCCTTCATCTACCATGTTCACGGGAGATGTGCTAGGGTTTCCATCCTTAGCTCCTTCCATGGCACGAATCCCTTCTTCAATTTGAAGATGGGTGGCTAAACCGGACAATGTCATGTCCTCTTTCTTGTGTTTCAAGTCATGCTTAACACTTTTCCAACTAGGGGGGAATTTGTCAATAATGCTAGAAACAACAAACAACTCATTCATGGCTATTCCATGTTGTTCCAAGCTACCATAAATACGTTGCAATTCATGAAATTGGTCCATTATGGACCGACCATCAACAAATTTAAAATTATTAAAATTGCTAACTAAGAATTTCTTACTTGAAGCGTCTTCCGCCATGTACTTGCTCTCCAAAGACTCTCAAAGCTCCTTGGCCGACTCGATGTTTTGATAAACATCAAACAAGTCATCCTCCATACCATTCAAGATATGACCACGACAAATGAAATCATCATTGTCCCATTTCGATCTTTCCCGAACGGATTCCAAGGTCTCATTCTCATATTCATCCAGCCTTGGAGTACGTATCACATAGGCTACATTCAAAGATGTAAGAAGAAAATACATCTTCTTCTTCCATCTTCGAAACTCCACACCGTCAAACTTTTTGAGTTTGACAAAATTTGTGGTCAATTCTTTCACACTAGACATGCTTGCTAAAGATTAAACTCTTTAGATTGTTAGGTTTTCAGTAATTCAAGACAAGAATTACTAATAAATGTGGGAATAAAACCTAAAATGAAGTATAATTCAACTAGATTATACAACAATCAATATTATTCAAAATATTACAACCAAACACCAAATTATCAAAGTATTACAAAAAATACTAGGAAAAACACTAATGTGAAAGATATTACACTTGCCTCAACTCCAAGCCTTTAAGAACGAACATGAACATGAGAAATACTATGACCACTTAAGTCTCAATCCTTGATACACTGTTTTAGGCGTGTGAACACTTTCCTAAAGAGTTTAATTTCCCCCACAACCGTGCTTGGGTTTAATCCGGAAATACTCTTTGAGATATTAAAGACAGTCAATCGTTCTTTGCACTAAGAATCGAATTAAAGATGACTAATTCACAAAATTGGATTAATTGAAAGAGTTTTCTCACAAAAGTTTGCAAGAAATTTGAGAGAAAAGTGTAGAGAATACTGCTTGGAGAGAAGAAGAAAATCAGTGTATGCTTTTCTTCACGAAATAAGCCTTTTAATAAAAGACTCAACCGTAAAAAAAAACCGCAAAACAGGGAGGCGTGGGCGTGCCATCAGGTGGAGCGGGCGCTCCTATATTAAGAGCAGGCGCTCCTCATCAGAAATGTGAAATTTCCACAGGAAGGCGGTAGGGGGCGCGGTTTAGGCGCGACCGGACGCGCGGGCGCGCCACTTGGAGTCGCGGGCGCGCCAACTTTACCCTTCCAAAGTTCCAAATTCCAGAGAAGTATGCGGTTTAGGCGCGCTCTCTGCGCGGCCGCGCTTAACTTGCGCGGGCGCTCCTTCATGGTTCGCGGGTGCGCAACCATCAACACTCTAAATATCTAACAGCTGGAGGGTCATCCACTGTTCATACAATCCGCCCTCTTCATGTGGCCGGAATTTCCGCGGAATCAGGGACTTCAATTCAGCCCATCTGCGGATGCGTCGCCGCCGGTGTTCGTATTGAAACCAGAGGAGGGCTTCCCCGTCGAGGGCCACCACCGCCGCCTCAATGCTGTCTCCTTCGCTAAGACGGTAGAAGTGGAAGTAACGTTCGACACGTAGGATCCAGCCGTCCGAGTTGGACCCATCAAACGTCGGCAGGTCGAGTTTCTTTGACCGCCATCCAGTAGTGTTACCACCGGTGGCGTCTGGCTTATTTTCCACCGTGGTCAAGGAAAGACCCAGACCATCGAACATGCCGTAGGACTCCTCCAAGAGATTGTTCGGTGCGTGGGGTCGGTTAACCCGACCAGTCCCATTCCTCCGGGTGATGGCCAACAACTCAGTGAGTTGCTGGTTCATCTGGGTCACATCGTGACGCAGTGTATTTACAGCTTCCGCCATTTTTAAAGACTGAGAGTTGAGAGGACCGATTTCAGTCTCCATATCGTCCATTCGCTGCGCATTGAGCCATGGATTGAGCTTCACCGATCGCCAGAACGTACTGCTCTGATACCAAATTTGCTAGAAATCGTTTTGTAGACAGAATATCTTAGGAAAGAAACGAAGGAAACTGGGAATTGGGACAGGAATGCAGAATATAGGAGGGAAGCTTGGGTGTGTATTGATTGATAGTAAACCTTCTTTCGAGAGGAAGGCACTCTCCCCCAAGCCTAAGTTTGCAATACAATTTTCTGGATGATTCAGTTGTATTCCCAGCCCCCCTATTTATACAGGAGTTCCTTCTACAACCTTCCAGCTTACATTCATTCCCCCCTCCATAACAAAGTTTATTCCCTAACAGAAGAACTAGCAAAGCTCAAAATAAAATAACAGAATCAGCAAACAACTCATAAATGGTTATTTAAATTCAGTGCATGGGACAGCTCAGCAAATCTTGCAACAACCTCAACCTTGCTTCTTGTGTCTAGAATAGGTAGCCACAATAGGAGGCCTAGGCCCATTCCTTGCATTTTGTGCGTGTCATAAACTAAAAAACTTTTTGGCCACCTGACGTGAGCTCAGCGATTACTGTCATTTAAACTCTAAGAAAACATTATGAGCTTTGCATAGTCACTTTTCTTCTTGGAGTTTCAGAGTTTCCTATGATACCTTCATCTACCCCCATAATTTACCAAATGTATAATTTAGTATCACTCTTTTCTTGAGATATCTTGTTTTGTCATTTATGTGAAGTTCCACTGCTAATATTAAGGATATGACTACCACTGCAGGTTGTCAAGTGGATGAAAAACCTGTGGCATGTGAGGACTATTGGACCCACACTGCCATCTGAATACCTTGATAAACGTATTGAGTATGATGTTAACTATGGTTTTAGCCTCTACAAGCCAAATGATGAGGCTTGCAGGAACTGGTTAAACGCCAAACAAGCTGCCTCAGTTGTGTATGTTGCATTTGGCAGTGCTGCTAGTTTGAGCGTAGATCAGATGACAGAAATGGCAGAGGCCTTAAAGCAAAACCCAAGCAGTTTCTTGTGGGTAGTAAGGGAAGGTGAGCAGAAAAAGCTCCCTAAAGATTTCATTAGTGAAACATCAGATAAAGGTTTGGTGATATCTTGGTGCGCCCAATTGGATGTCCTATCACACGAAGCAGTGGGATGTTTTGTAACCCATTGTGGCTGGAATTCAACAATTGAGGCGTTGAGCTTTGGGGTTCCGATGTTGGCAATGCCACAATTTATGGACCAACTGATTGATGCTCATTTTGTTGATCAAGTTTGGGGTGTTGGAATAAGGCCTAAGAAGAATGAGGATAATATTGTTACTTGCGAGGAAATAAAGCACAGCCTTGAGGAAATTATGCATGGACAAAGAGCAGAGAAAATTAAGGAGAATGCAGCAAAGTGGAAAGCCTTGGCTAGGGAAGCAGTCAGCGAGGGGGGCAGTACGGATAAGCATATTGATGAAATCATTAACCGGCTTGCATCCTTGTAAGGGTTGTTTAATGCTTTCATAGGCATCATTATTTCCGATTTTATTTGCTTAATTGTATGAGAACACTCCAAGACTTAGCCTGTAGACTTTTCATTCAAGGTTTCAAACTTAATAACTTCCCATTTACAGCTGCTGTAGAATGTTGGTGTTAAATTGTAAGTATGGAAGGGCATTATGTATTATGATCTAATGATGGCAATTAGTTTTTTTTTTTTTTTTTTTTTTTTTTTTTTTTCTGTAAATGTATTACTAGCATGCAATCTCTTGTACTTTTTATCTGACTTCTATGATCAAGAGCACCAGCGATTAATCTCCCAAATTGTCCCTATTTTACCATTGTCTTATTGAGACCTACTATTTTTTAAGGGTGAAATTGAGACCCAATAGTTAAGAGTATATAACTAACATTTAATCTTTCACCTTTTTTTTTGGGTCTACTTTTTTTTTTTTTTTTTTTTTTGAAAATTGTCAAAAATAATAAGACCTTTCGCCAGTCTTTCATAAATAAACCGACCTTTTCTTTTAGGGTATTGTAACTATTGGTAACCTGTTTAACAGGTTAAGTGTAACACGTATTGCTATTTTAATTTATTTTATACAAAGTACAAAAACTTATAGAGTTATAAATCATCTTAAGATGATTGACTAAATGCCAAGTAAAACAATCTCTTCGGCGATTCCTCCAATTATGTCCAATAGTCAAATTATGCGACCATATGTTTTTGGACAAGAAATCCCAAGTTCACCTACGAGATGAACAAAGATTAAGTGACAATTTCATAACAAAGCGAACAACTTTTCATTAAATGCGCGGGTCTCACTATTATTGATTTATTACGAAAATATTTGACTATTTTGATTGAGTTATTTAGGAAACTGTCATTTAATTTGCATTTTTGTTTACTTCGTATGTAGCTGACAATTAAAACTGCTTATTTTTCTGACAAACCACACTTTTTTTTTTTTAATTTACGTAGTATTTGATTCTTTTTTTGAAATTTTTTTCAAAAACCACCTTTAAAAAAATATTGTAAATAACCACTCAAATAATTTTTTTTGTTGTAATTCACCACCTTTTGAAAGAAAATGAGCTTTAGCTTCTAAACCATTCAATCATCATTTGTTATGTTGTTGGTGATGAATTAGGTGGTTATTTACAATATACTTGTATTTTTTCAAAGATGGGTTTTCATAAAAACAAGAATTTAAAATGTGGTTTTCCTTTTATTTTTTTGAATTTATTTTTGGCTTAATGGATTATCAATATGGGCCATATGGGTTTATTATGTGGATCCAGTCCAATATGCCAACGAATATTTCTTTTCCAGTTTCCCCCTACATTCTGCCCCCCGTTTTTGAATTTCGAAAATAGAGCCGTTACATTTTTTGGGACAAAAGAACCTGGTTAACAGTTATATATAATTGATCTAATAATCCAAACAACGCTCCTCACTGAAAATTGGGGCATTTTTCTCAAAGTTTAGGGTTTATTTTTCTGAAATCAAAAAATTCATCATCTGATCTGGTAAGAGAGGGAAATTTTTAAAAAAATGGAAGCAACTGGTGGAGGAGAGAAGATAGCATTGTCCGCCATGGATGCATTTGAGAAGCTTGAGAAGGTCGGAGAAGGTACTTATGGCAAAGTTTATCGAGCCAGAGAGAAAGCTACTGGTAAAATTGTCGCTCTTAAGAAAACTCGTCTTCATGAAGATGATGAAGGTGTTCCTCCCACTACTCTTCGCGAAGTTTCTTTGCTTCGTATGCTTTCTCGCGATCCTCATGTTGTCAGGTTTTTCTATCTCTCTCTTAATCATTTTAGGGTTTCCACTTTATAATTGTTTTTTAATTGGGGTTTTCTTAGGGTTTCACAAGTCGTTCTGATCTGAAGTTTGATTTCATTCATCATTTTCATTTAATCTAGGGTTTTCTTAGTTGGTGATGTTTTGATGGAGTTGTGTGTTGGGAGGAGGGGAAATATGTGGTTTTGATTGAATTTTACAATTACTGCTTCAATCTAGGGTTTTCAATTTACAAATTACTTACTTGAATTTCGATTGATTGAATGATTCTGCTGTATTCTGTAATTGGAATTCTTATTGGATTGCTGGTTTGATCGTCAATTGTTTTTAGAGATTCAGTGGATAATATATGGTTTTGAAGGGATTTCTGGTTTTGTGTTGATGTTTTATAGGTTGTTGGATGTGAAACAAGGGCAAAACAAAGAGGGTAAGACTGTTCTGTACCTGGTGTTCGAGTACATGGACACTGATCTTAAGAAATACATCCGTAGCTTCCGTAATACCGGGGATACCGTGCCTCCTCCGATTATCAAGGTATACTATTATCCCATGGAATAGTTCTGAGTAATACATTGTCTTATTTAATTGACTAAGGTTTTGAAGTTGTTCAATTTGATGGTTTTGATTGAGGATTCTATGTTGGTTGTGTGGGTTGATGCAGAGTCTAATGTACCAACTGTGTAAAGGTGTTGCTTTCTGCCATGGTCACGGAGTCATTCACAGGTATCCAATCGTCGTCTTGTTTCGTGTTCCACAATTCATTTACTTTCATTGTGTTACAAAGTGTGTATCTTTGCCCCTCTGTCTATGAACGATCTCATTTATTGTCATTCATGTTGTGTAGGGATCTTAAGCCACACAATCTGTTGATGGACCGTAAAACTACAACCCTCAAGATAGCTGATCTCGGTCTTGCTCGAGCATTTGTCATTCCCATCAAGAAGTACACCCATGAGGTACGTGATTTATGTTGTTCACTCACAGAACTACTGTGATTTGTTCAGGTTTTGAAAGAGTTCAACACTTTTGGAATTTTGATATAGATGATTATTGATGTGAACCTTACTTTGCGAAATTGCAGATCTTGACATTGTGGTACCGAGCTCCTGAGGTTCTCCTGGGTGCTACACACTACTCTTGTGGTGTTGACATGTGGTCTGTTGGTTGTATATTCGGTATGATCTTGTGTCAAATAATCTTTTGCTTTTACACTAGCTGCGAAACCAACCACTTATTGTTTGAATGTTTATTAATGGCAGCTGAGCTTGTGAACAATCAAGCTCTCTTCTGTGGAGACTCTGAGCTGCAGCAACTCCTTCACATTTTCAGGTCTGTTGTGCACCTTCTTCTCTCACTTTTAGCTAAAGAAGTATGTGGCTAATTCCCTTGTAACTGCGAATTACAGGTTGTTGGGTACCCCAAATGAGCAAATATGGCCAGGAGTGACCAAATTGAAGGATTGGCACGAATACCCTCAATGGAACCGCAAAGACATTTCATCGGCTGTCCCTGGATTGGACAAAGATGGACTCGACCTGCTATCTGTAAGTATTGAAACCGAGCTCTCTCTGTTTCAGACTTTAGTCCTCATTTATTTGATGATGATTCTTACAAAATGATACTGTCTTTCAGAAAATGCTGATCTATGAGCCATCCAAGAGGATCTCAGCCAAGAAAGCTATGGAACACCCTTACTTTGATGATCTGGACAAGACCCATCTGTAGGAGCATATGATTCTCGGTTTTCTGTTGGCTGCTTTAGCTGCTCCCTCCTACTGAGACAGTCTTAGATTGCTTCTCTCAAGCATCATTACTTGCAACTAGCTCTAGTACTAAACGGGTTTGATTTTAAAACCTTGTAGAACATCTTTGTTTATCTGTATTAGGTCAATTCCTGCACTAAGAATTCATTTGACTGCTATATAGCAGGATATTCCGTACATGCTCTTGCTTCCCGATAAACAAATTCATTGATCAATGTTTTATTAGGTTTATAATTTGTCTGCTGCCCAAATATATATGCCTCTTTTCAAACAAAACAAGTCCAAGTTTTCGCTACATTGTAGCCTGACATGATTCCCGCAACATCTACTTATTTATCTTCGATTAATGTAGATATGATTGATATATTATAGCAGCCAACATCAAGTGTTGTAGTCTCCTAATAAGTTCAACGGCTAATTCAAGCTTGATCCTCTCCCTTATTAAGTGGCACCAATTAAATCCCTGTTTTTTCCTCCCTTACCAACTTGTATAAGCAGCAGATGCATCACCCTTCTCAAGTGTACAAATCCCAATAGTAGAGTAGTATACAATAAATACTATCACATTTTCAATCATGAACCAAGCAAGCCTTGGCTCAATTATTCATTTATGAGTAAGGTTATAAAGATTTACAATGCATGTTAAGCAATTTTGAGAACCAAAAATGAGAACCAATCATGAGAACCAAAGGACTAGCTAAAACGTTCACTAAGTCGGTCACAAATTTTCTAAGCTCATTGCCTTCATTATTATTTGACCTTAGTGCGGGGGGGGGGGGTGATGGAGAGAAGGATTTTCCAACTGCAGCTGGGTTTCCATACAAGTGCATTTGACCACCTCAATTACCAAATTTTGTCATCCTAAGAGAGATTTCAAGGCATCTTAAGTTAATACAACCGCACAATCACCCATTCACCCCTAGTCATTTGTCGAGATTCAATCCAACCCAATTGTCTTACCCTCTCCTGAATTGTTTATAATATAAGCTAACTCGACAAATTAAGAGAATTTGAATTAGCTAATTCATTTCACTGGATGAATTACATCACACTATTTTGATAAGGAATTAGTTGTAGTAATGTACTAAGAATAATAAAAGTACTTGTATAAAATACACATTATTTTTATGATTATTGATGCTTGTGACGTTAGAATAGTAAACCCTTCATTGAGTTGTGTCAAATATGCTTTAGATTGTGTTTGGGATCTTTTTGAGAGACTGTTTACATGTATGTTTGGTCCATTTGATGATTTGAATTTTGCATGTCGTTGTACACTTGTACTTGCTTACTTAATATGTCCTGTAGTCTTACAAGTTACTGGATTATTTAGGCTAGTTGCACATTTTATTGTTTGCTGCAAACGATGATTTTGCAGTCAAGTTTAAATGCGAACCATGGTGCCATTTCTGGCACCCAAGCCTCAAGCCAGTCCACATATGTACTAGTAATGCATCACTGGACTCGAGCACAATAAGCGGAAAAAAAAAAAATGTAATTCCAATCCTAGTTTTACCGGTTTCACTTTAGAATTTACATGATCGCATCTCAGACATATGTTCTGTCCTTATTTGTGATTTTAGTTTCAAAGGACATGGTATGCTAGCACCTTTCACAGCCGGGTGATAGTTGAATCTGAGGTAAATCCTTCTTCATCTATTCATTAACCGTATCATAATATCTTCCATGCTAAACCCCTCAAAAAATCTGTTTGTAGCACGACTTAGAATCCGGTCTCCATCCTACCTATACCATGCGGTAGAACTTATCCCTTACACAGAGAACCACTATCATGATGTTCTAGCACGCTTGACACTAACAGTCGAGGATTGAGATACATACAAGAGACTTTTTGAACAGAAGTGCGTCATTTATATTAGCCTAGCTCTTATATCAGGCCATTTATTAGGAAGGTGGTGGAGATGAAAGTTGACCAGCTATTAACCCAAAGAATCCCTTTGTCTCCATTATTAGCGCGTCAAAAGTGAGCAATAAGGGCATCAAGTTTATTAGTTACATATATTCAGTAACCAAAAAATTATCCTAAGTTATGCTGCTGATCCGTCACCCTTT